CTTAGTCTTTTCAACTTCTCATGTTTCTAAAATCATCCTATGAATTGAGTTATCTGAATTTACCTTTTCAATAATCCAAACTGTTGATTGGCTGATTGGATTGGTGCAATCTAAAATATGATCGCCGATTGAATGATTAATATCATGTATTTGTTTTGCTGGATGTGGGCATTGATTTCTGTCTTTTGGTTGATCGGGCTGGTCCGTTTCACGTTGATTTCTGATTATTCCGAATTTCGAATTTCTCATCCTCCTCCAGTGCCTAATTTTCTGTTGTGTTTGATCCGAAATGGGATCTTCGGATTCAACAGAAGGAAAAAGGAGATGAATCTGAAACTTGTGAATGAGAATGGGAAATCTGATTTGCCCTTGAACTCACTTCAAGTGAAGAGGATTTTGTCCCTATGTTTATGTACTTTGACTTCGATTCTCTCAGTTTATGAATATCTTTGGATGTTTTGGCAAATATAGTTGATCTGCTATACTTATGGACCATTCTTTCAGGCTTTTCTGCAAAATGGCACGCTCAGCGCTCGATGAAATGTCTACAACTGGTGCCTTTGAAAGAACAGCTTCAACATTTCGCAACTTGATCTCCCGAGATCATTCCTCTCATTTTCCTCCAGAATCAGGCAGATATCATCTCTACATATCGTATGCTTGTCCTTGGGCTTCCAGGTGCCTTGCATATTTGAAGATCAAAGGGCTCGAAAAGGCGATCAGTTTCACGGTAGATCTTCTTTTTCATATCTAAATGAGTGCATGATGTTTTTACTGAAAGCCTGATCCCTTTGCATCCACTGTCTCTTTTTCAGTCAGTCAAGCCAATATGGGAAAGAACCAAGGAAACTGATTATCATATGGGATGGGTTTTTCCTGGCTCTGATACAGAGGAGCCAGGTGCTGAACCTGACCCTTTGAATGGAGCTAAAAGTATAAGAGAACTCTATGAACTTGCCAGTACAAATTACAGCGGAAAGTACACGGTTCCAGTAAGTATCAGCCACGGGTGCGATTTTAATTTGATTTTCTAAGTAGATGTTATGCAGTCCTCTCAGTCTCTTCATCTTGACAGGTTCTGTGGGACAAGAAACTCAAAACCATTGTTAACAATGAGAGCTCAGAGATAATTCGTATGCTCAATACTGAATTCAATGATGTAGCAGAGAATCCAGCTCTAGATCTCTATCCTCCTCATTTGCAAGCTCAAATTGATGAAACTAATGGTTGGATATACAATGCCATTAACAATGGCGTTTATAAATGTGGGTTTGCAAGGAAGCAACTGCCTTATGAGCAGGTAAGCATTCACTATATATAGAAGCTAAAAATTTAGAATGTTAAAAAGTAATGATTGCTTGAAAAAACCTATCAATTCGACCTCACCTGTTTCAGTTAGTTGTCAATCCGTGTATAACTCAGTGGATAAGACGCCTATTAATTTTTCTAAAGTTGAAGTTCAATCCAATGGCGCTCCCACAATTGTTGAACTCTTAGAAAACTGTTCAGGTTTAAATAAGTTGAATTTTTCTAGGTTGGTTAGGTCTATAATTTCTCTTCAAACTAGTTTCGGCTGAATCAASCTAACTTGAATTTATTCATTCTGTCTATGACAAAATTACTTATTCATCAACTATTTAAGATACATTTTTACTCATAACATTTCTAACAATTTGTTGATTCGAGTCTTATTTTAGTTATAATGGATTAGATCCATCACCTTACCTACTTAGAAGAATTGTCAAATTTACGACTCGAGTAATTAGATTGGATAATGTATCTTTCTAATTTCATCCAACCCGAATCCATGAATGCTCTTACTAAAACCATAAATTTAGTCTAGTACCTGAAAGTATTACTGAAGGTAGAAATAAAATTATGAACCAAGAAATAAAATTATGAACCATTCTTCTACAGGCGGCGGCAGAATTGTATGAAGCTCTGGACAGATGTGAGGAAATACTTTCCAAGCAACGATACCTCTGTGGGAACACATTGTCCGAAGCAGATATTCGGCTGTTTGTCACCATAATAAGATTCGACGAGGTACTTCTACCAACTGATCCTATAAAAAATGTGCATTTTTTCCTCTCTCCTTCATTCTCCTTCATTCATTGGTGCCGAGCGTGGGGAATGCTAGACGTTTGGTAATTTCTCCTCCAACCAGAATAAGAAGAACACATTAAAGTGGCTAATATGTACATCTAGTCGCACAAATTGCATAGTATCGTAAATAGCTACTCCAAGTATTATCGGGAGAGTTTATAAATCAGTATTTTTGTTTTGTTTGTTTTTGAGCTCAGGTTTATGCAGTCCACTTCAAATGCAACAAGAAACTGCTGCGGGAGTACCCAAATCTGTTCAACTACACCAAAGACATATACCAAATTCAAGGGATAAGCAGCTCTGTTCATATGCAACACATAAAGAAGCATTATTATGGAAGCCATCCTACCATCAATCCATTTGGCATCATCCCTCTTGGCCCCAATATTGATTACTCTTCTCCTCACCATAGAGATAGATTTTAATTTCCTCATAGTTTGGCATTGTGAATGGCAACTGTTACAAGAGTTTGTGTTTATGGTTTACTATTCTCCTCATGATAGAGATAAAAGATAGATTTTCTCGAGAGTTTTGCATTGCCAATGGCAGCTCTTAGAAGAGCTTTATTGTGTTTGTGTTTGTTACTTTGTATCCCCTCTTCTTATGAAGAACTTGTTTGAAGTTTGAGTTAAAATATATTTGAGAAGTTTTTTTTTTTTCTTATTTGCAGTGTATTTATCATAAATGGTGTGTGTGTTTTTTTATACTTTTATTAGAAATGGTATTTGAAATATGTATCATATAAGCACTTTTAGAAGAAAGTAAGTTAAATGTTTCTCTGAAAGCACTTCAAGTGCTTTTTATTAGTTTTAAATTTTTTAAAAATATTTTTTATTAGGTAAAACTTGAAAAAAAAAAAGTTTTTAATTAGTTTTAAAAATTTCTATCCTTCGTTAAAATTTTAACCAAATATTGCCCATTTCTAAAAAAACACTTTTAGTTTAGGCCATCTATGGAAACCCAATTTGAATGGTGAAGATTTCCCTTTTTCAAAAAAGATTTTATTTAATTATAAGTACAATAAATTTACATGTTTCGAAATTGCTTTATAAACGATTTTATGATATTGTTTATTTTATTTTATTTTTGTAAATATAAATGATTGCAGATTGGACTCAACTAATTAATAATCTTTTCGAAAACAAATTTTCAGAACAATAGTTCCCGTCAATGTGGGCTGAATCGCAGTAAAATACTCGAAAGAATGTATACTTTTGATCGATCTCGTAAAAACTCAAATAAATTACATAAATTTACGATCTCAAACAAAAAATAAAAAGAAAAAAGAAATGCAATTAGAAAAGCTTCGCCGACGGTGTTCTTCGATGGACTTCGCACCTGGTTCGATGATATGAATGGCGATTTCAGGGATCTAGGGTTTCATAATTGGAGAGAAGAGAGACAGAAAGAGAGGGAAAACTTAGCTTGCTGGCACTGCGATCTCTTCAGAGCGGTTCCGGCGGTGGAGCAGAGGGTTCGCACCGCCTCCGCCTCGTTAGGGCAAGCCGTAGCCACCAGGCACTCCGCCAGAGAACGGTTTAGATGCCGGCAAGCCGATCGCCGCGCCGGACCGTCCGGAACTCGCCTGTGGCAGTCTCGGAGAGCCTGCTCCAGCCGCTCGCAACCGCCAACGCCGCCGCCGCTGATCGGAGCTTCGCCGGTAGGTAACATCCCATTGCTTTCCCATGTGGCTATGGGGTCCCACACCATTTGGGAGGGAAAGGAAAGTTGCTCTGCAAATTAGTAAAGGACCTAACCTAGCGTATAAAATGCCCACTTTTTTAAGAAAAAAGAAAATATATTTTGCAATTTACTACATTAACCCTGAATTTTCATTTCTTTTCTATTCTTCCCGGTTTTATTATTATTCTGTTAAAAAAAATATACATTGGGTCCCTCGAACTAAACTTTATTTAGTCTCTTAATTTTAGGTAATAATTTAGCCCATGTAGTTTAGTTTATAAATTAGTTATCTGATAAAATCTACATATAATTTTGATGAAATTTTTTACGATAGAGATTAAATTATTACAAAATTTAACGTTATAAGCTAAGTTCAAAGATTAAATCGTTACTTTAACAAAAATATATGATAAGTTATTGTTTCTTTTGTTAAATGACCAGTTTGGTTTCTTAAGCCTTGTTTGGTAATATATATATATATATATATATATATATATATATATAGCTCGAACAGTAAATAATATTTACTTCCGTGGAGAGGTTAAATCTCCATGCCTCTACTTCCACCCATATATGTTGTTTTGTCTTATTATTTACTTTTTAAATACATCTTCAAAATCTAAGTCAAATTTTGAAAACTAAAAAAAGTTATTTTGTTTTTGAAATTTTGCTAAGAATTCAAATGTATTTTTAAGAAAGGTGAAAAATATATAAAAAATAAATCAACATAATTTTTATAAATGAAAAACTAAAAACAAAATGATTATCCAATGAGATTTAACTGTTATCTATAAACTTTCAATTTTATAAATAATTATTGTAGTTAATTGGTCATGAAAGTTTCATCAACGTGTCAGATAAATGTTAAACTAACAAAATTGTATATAGATTTTTTTACGTGGGATAGGAGATCGAATTCACAATCTGTTAAAAACTACTTGAAGTGCACATAACTAACGAATACACAAGTTATAAAAATATTAAAAAGATTATTAAAAACTTGTTAAAATAGGTTAGATCAAACTTATATTTAACATTTTATTTCTCTCTCCTTGGGTCATTGTTCTGTCCTTCCCAAAAATGTCTTCTAATTTAGATTTTAAAAATCTCTTCTTGAAAAGACCCACACTCAACTTTCTTCTTGGACTCTCAAAAAAATCCTTTTGGATTCAAGGAACGATCTTTCTTATATATCTATATGTCTATTACATTTTAATATTTATAAATAATTAATATGAGTTTAATTTTCCTTTTAATATATACATATATTTAATATGTAGGACATTGGGATTCGAACCGATGAAAATCATTGACTTTAATCTTTTGGTGTCAATTGAGTTATTTGAGCTTAACTCTTAGTATTATTTAATTGAAGTGTTTAAGTTGGAAAAACTTGTTTTTCAAATTTAATGACGAATCACATGGATTTAGTGATATTGTTGAGTTTGTTGATTTTAAAACTGTTTTTGCATTCTATCATTGAAATAGTGAAAATTTAGAAAATAACATTTCTATACTACATCGTCGTATTATAATTACTTCTAACTTTTGTAGAATTGAAAAATGTAAAATATAATATAGTATAATATCCTAAAATATAGATTAAATTAATTAATATTATTTTAGATTCAACTAAATATTTAGTTGATAACTATGTATATATTACCAAACACATATCGGAAAATATTGAAAAGATATTCTATTTTTGTTGATACTAAATTCTTCTAATTGTGTTCAACGTTGTTTTTAGCTAGATTTGTGCGTTTTAGTGTTGGGTTTTTCTATGTTTTATTTTGTGGTTGATATTTCTCACATGTGGTTAGGTTTTCGGGATTTCTTAGACTTTGAAGAACAAAAATACTAAATATTATTATCGTCGCGATTAAATTAAAGGTATTAAAAAGTAATGCAAAAGTTTGTTCAACATCAAATATAAAATGACAATACCTCTTCTTCAAAATGTGATAAAAATATTAAAAMGATATCGAAACTATGTAATGCAATACATTTTTCATCTTCTAGAACATAATTTAACAGTTAAGATATTTCTATTTTACTATCACTTAGAGTTCCTAAATTTAAATTTTCATATTCTACATTTGCTTTGTTGTGATTTCCATTGACTTCTTATCGATATCAACATCGATATTGACATTTCATCTTGACATTTTAAATTCTTTTAACTTTATATGACATGTGAAAGACATAATAAGAAACAAAGTTGTCGAATTCAAAAGCAAAGAATAATGGAGAGTACAGTGATGAGAAGACAAGAGAGGGAGGGATTGTACCCTAATTAATTAATATGCTTAGGCTTGATCTGCAACATTGAGCTGCAGCTTTCTTTTCTTTTACAAACCAACCAAACAAATACGAAAACCGATATCCAATCGGTGTATTAGCGATGTATATATATATTTTAATCTCTAATATTTGAATATTTTTTCAATTTAATCTCTCTATGTTTTAAGATTTTTTAATTATACAATTTTTTAGTGGAGGTTAATTTTATATTTATACTTTCCAAGAGTGTGTTTTTTTCAATGGTGAGTTTTTAGGATTATGTTTATTTGGGCCATCTTTATACTTTAAAAATATTATATAATAGGCCATTAACTTTTAGTTTTATATCAAACCGCTGTATTAACGACGACGTGTATATATATATATACATAAATACATATATATATATATATATACATACACATACATACATATACATATATATGTTATATTTATTCTTTTATTAATTATTTATATATGTTATATACATATACATATATAAACAAAAACATATTTAGTAATTATTTYTTGATTCTTGCTACTTCAAATTTTAGATTGAAAAAAAATAAGAGTTTTGTATAAATTTAAAATTTAACGTTAAATATTCAAATATTTTATGTTATATTTATTTTTTTATATTTATTATGAATTTTAAAAAGAAAAAAATGACTTTAAAAAAAATAAGACAAAATAATTATTTAAAAACAAAAATTTTGATTCTATTGTTTCCAAAATTTCTACTCAACCTTAAAAATATTTCTTAAAAATGAGAAACGAGAAATAAGATAATTATCAATTGTTTATGCTTCTCAAAATTTAGAAACAAGAACATTATATATCAAATATGCCCTAAATATCTAATTAAACTCGCTCAAAATCAACGTGATGTGTAACTTTAAATAATATAGTAAATGCGCCCACATAATCATTAAACCAACAAAATTGATTGGCAACAATGTATTTTGTCCACTAAATTTTTAAACTTAAAAAACGTGTCTAATAAATATTGGAACTTTCAATTTTGTGTTCAATTTATTTTTTAGAATTTAAAAATTAATTTAAAAAAATTTGTCAGACACAACACCAAACATCTATTATAAATTTCTTAAAGTACAAAAACTAAATAACACAACACAAATTTTTTTGGAAATAAGCATATAATTTAAGTAATAAAATTAATAATGAAGTGGAAGAGAAAAGAGCACAAATTAACTTTATTTTTGTCTGTTTTGTATGGATTTTTTACTTTTTTTCTACACTCTTCACAGTTTTGTCTCTTCTCTCTGCTACATTGATTTCTGGAGAATGGATGCTTGAGACAATCAGACAAGACATTCAAGGCTCAAAACTTTTAGATAGAAACAGCATTGACTTTCATTGCCAAAGTTTGGGCAATTTCCTCTGCGATTCAACGTTGAGCTTCTGTTGACTACAATCTTATGTCTTAGAGATGAAAATGATAGAAGTTAAATGAGGAGAAACTATTAGAAAAGAAGATGAAAGGTATCTAGCAAGAATGAATTTTCTTATATACCGAATCCATATAGGTTCGAAAACTCTCACCAAATAGGAGGAACAAATTTCGTGTGTGTTACAATAGCTAACTATTAACTATTAAGTACAAACTATCGATGATTATTTAATCTGCAAAATATTTCAAATCTATATTCCATGGCGATGAATTATGAACATATAAAGATTTTTGAAATCTATGAATCTAACTATTATTAACAGCAACCAGATTGCAAATCAATAATTTTTCTTAAATTAAAGAATATGAAAACGTGAGGAGAGAGAAGAATATTGGACATCCCAATTTCATATCTTGAATTTGCTTTAAAGATGAAAACTTGTAGAGAGAGAGAATAAACAAGATAAAAACTTGACTTTCCATTATTATCCCAATATATCTTGGTTTTTGCTTTTAAGTTAAAAGGAAAAACTTCTAGGAATTGAAAGAGAGAATTGCAATTCCATTTCCATATCTTGGTTTTGCTTTTAAGATGAAAAC